GGGAGCGGGGAGATGCGGGGTGACGGAGGGTGATGATGGAGGGATGCGCCCATCCTGCCCCAAAACGTGGGGCTGGGGAAATCCCAGCCTGGCCACCAGATGCTGGGCACCCAGCGGAGCATCCGCTGATGCTCTTAAGCAGCAACGTGTAAGCCAGCAAGGCTGCTTAACTGGAGGGGCTCACGTGGGACTGGGAGTCTGCAGGGTGAGCGGCAAAAATGAGTGGGTACCCCGGGATGTTCCCAAGTGCCCCTTGGTGGGGTGTTTTGGGTTTTTTTTTTGTGGAGGGGTTGGATTTGGGGGAGAAAGCAGGGTGGGGTGGGGGTCCAGGTGCCGTGGCAGCATCCTGATGTGTCCCCTCTCTCAGCAGAAGGGGATCCCGTGTCACCTCTGCCAGGTGGTGGTCTCTGTGGTGGGCAAGATCCTGCAGGATAACCGCACCGAGGTGGGTCATGGCTGGGGGGAACGCAGGGCTGGCCTGTCCCCCCACTACCCCACAGGGCCAGCTCGACTTTGAGCTCTCTCCTTGTCACCTAGGAAAAGCTGCGGCTCTTCTTGGATAAGAAATGCCAGTACCTGCCCTTCCAGGACTGGTCCGTCAAGTGCAAGAGGATGGTGGACACTGGCATCCTCATCCTCGTCCAGCTGGGCAAGCAAGTGCTGGTAACTAGCAGGGGAACCCCTTGGGTTTGTGTTTCTCCATGGTTTGGGGTGACTTGGGGGCTCTTGGAGCCTGGGACAAAACCTTTGTGAGGTGGTGATGGGGATGGAAATGCCCCAGGGATGGGGGGGGAGTGGGGCAATGGGGCAGACACAGCCCCCAGCCCCCACCCTTCTGCTCCCCCAGTCAGACCCAAAGGTGGTGTGCGGGACCATCAAGCTGTGCCAGCCCTGGGAGAGCCCCACGGGAGCCCTGAAGTTCCAGAAGCCGCCACCGGCCCCTGCGGGCCCCCCTCAGGATTTCGCCGACCTGGTGGCCCCCTTCATCGCCAACGTGCCCCTCCTGCTCCATCCCCAGGACCTGCCTCATGGCAAGGCCCAGGTACTGCGCCACAGGCACGGATGCCACTGATGCTCCTCAAGGGCGAGCATCACCTAAGCTTTGCCTAATTAAAAAATAATTAAAAAAAAATATTTAAAAATACTGCACGGGTGAAATTAGGGGTGTCACCAATTCGGGGCCGGGATATTGCCGGATCCAGTGGGGGGGGACGGACCACAATGATGCTGGTCAAAAAGCTGCCCCAGATCGCGACGGGCATTTAAATCCCAGCCCTGTGAATCCGGGGAGGGGGCTCAGTTTTATTGGGGGGGTATCGAGGTGTCCCTGCCCACGTTGTCCTGCAGGAGACGGATGAGACGTGCGGGGGCTGCCTGCAGCTGGGGGCGGCCCAGCAGGCGGGG